TTGATTTTAATTCCACTGTGTTCGATTAAATTTCTTATTGGCTTATTGCGTCACTTCTTCTTTTTTTGTTTTTTACATATATTTTTATTGTGCCTTTTATCTTGGTTCACACGTTATAATAAGGAAAAAAGGGAATGAAAGAGAGCAAGACAAAAGAAAAAACAAAAAAGCGACTAGAGAGAATACTTGGTATAATATCAGTATTTTAGTATTACATCTTCTGATGTTCACCTGAGTCGATATTCTAAGATAGTGGTAAGAAATGGAGTAGTAGTACAGACTGTATTTTACAAAATACCCGAATCGAGAGAGAAAAGTGTGTATGTAACATCATTTTATGAAAGAAAAAATGATAAGATGACAGAGTGTACATGCTGATACACAACTTATAAGAGAGAGGATAGAAAATGAAAGAGAAGGAAAAAGAACAAGAAAAAAAAATGGGATGCAATGGAAGAATAATAGACTGGTCAATAATAATACATCGGATTCTCAATAAAGTATTTGTATATGAATAGGTAAATTTCTTTATTTGCTTTTGTATAATATTCATATTGCTTAACATGGACATTTTCAAACTCTAACCAATCTATCATGGTATGTTTAACTTGTAGACGTAATCGATTAAAAAAAAAACTGTTTTTTCTTATACCTAGTATTTTAAACCAGTTTTTATCTGGGTTAGTTATATTAAAATATGCATTCCAATTCATTTGGAATGCTAAAGCTTCATCAGCAGTAAGTAGATGAAGTACCAGTCGGCGCCAATATTTATATATATAAACATATAACGATTTTTCTCTTGTAAGAACAAGTGTTGTTATATCATCCCAACCCTGTAGGTTATAAACAATTCTTAAACCAATGTAATAAACGTGAGCTATCTTCTCTTTTTGTCTTTCCGTAAAGAAAAACCAGGTACTAAATAACCATATAAAATGCGGCAGGGCATATGCTAAATATATTCTTCTACGGGTTTTTACATCATTTTTCTTAATGGTTTTACAGATTATTTTCATAGCATTATGTATTTTACTTATTGATTCGATTCTTTCATTTATATAATTCTTCCATCCCAATTTTACTGTTATATGTACCCCTAAGTATTTAAACTTTTTTACATATTCAATTAGTTGATTTTTATAAAAGATTTTTGGGTATAAGGGTAAAACTACATTGTGTACGAGCATCGCTTTCGTTTTCGATATATTCACCGGGAGAATTAAATCATCAGAAAATTTTTCAAGTTGTTTCATTACTATTTCTGCTCTAACTTCAAGTTCATTTATGTTCTTCGAAAATTTATTTTCGAGAAATCCATTTAAAACGAGGGCAAGGTCGTCGGCGAAGAGGTGAATTAAACAGCTGGTAAAATACGAAGGAAGGAAATGTATATGAATACGAAACAGTGTTGCTGCAATTACAGAACCTTGCGGCGCTCCTCTTTTCATTTGTTGGCGCAGGCATATTCAACTCATATAAATTCCTGATAAGTGCCGGGATCCACATTCGGTCGAATGCGGNTTACATCGTTTCCGAATTCGTCACATAGAGGGAAAATCAGTTTTTTGGTGGTAGACCCTATTTTTTGCTTGACGACCTTGGTCGAAGTTGGCACTATTCGATAGAGAATTAAATTCTGCATCCAGCACAACCAAGCAGGGAAACAGCACAGACGTAGGGGCGAATCGGCACAGGAAATACGCGAATCTGGTGCTAACATTACCTGCGTTAATTTTTTTGGTATGTGTAATGATGATATTCTAATGGGCCGTCTAGTAAGTAAAATATTTTATCATTGATACAATTCACATATTCGTTGTGTTGTTTTAGATAACTGAAATAATATATGTTCATTCAAAATTAATGATCATTGATGATCGTATGGCTATATGTGATAGTAAAAATATAAATGATCGTTCATTAGTTGGTAATCGAGATAGTGAATTTTGTATTGTAATAAATGATCTGGAAGAAGAAGATGGTCGGTTGAATGAAGAGGCAGTTCTTGTAGGAAAATTTTGTTCTAGCTGGTGTAAAAAGATTTTTGAGTATGTTTCATATGTAAAATTACCATGATTTCCATAGAAAAGTATTTGACTTTTCAGGATACTGTTAGGTATTCAATTCGACAATCCAAATAACATTGATGCAACTGATTGAGTATCAAATGAATTTTATTCTTATTTTCAAGATGTAGCAAAACAAAATGCATTGATTTATGAAGAAGCTTTTACTACAATGAAAGTATATTTGCGAATGTATATATTTTGTAGATATTTTGAATAATATTTTTATTTTGTTTTTTTGAGACTCAACAAAAATTGAAAAGTATTCAAGGATTTGTTGTCGAATATCCAATTTATTTTCTTGATAAAGAAAATTATTTGCCTAGTATGGCTACTCATGAAGGTAAGAATTTTTCGCTTCATTATCGATGATAACTTTGAACAATTATCATCATATGACTATCATAGCTTCTTTTTATATTGAGAGAGTTCTTCTAATCAATGACTAACACATTCACGTTTTATCATCAGAAAAAAAAGCATGTGACATTTTCAATAATTTTCTGATCAGGTCAACCAATCTATGAACTGTTTGTTAGTTCACTTGTTTTACACATAGCTCCACTTACAATATGGACTTAAAATATTTATTTTTGTTAGGAAGACTACAAATTGACAAGAAAATAAGTATTAGAACAAAATGTTAGCTTAATGAAAAATGATTTATTTTATTTATATTGCCGGTTGAGTAGATGCTCTTTGTGCAATCGTTCATTTTGTATCTTGTATTCTGTTTTCTATATTGTTTTGGTATTCTAAGCGCTTTTATCGATGTTTTCATCTTTTTTTCTCCATTCGATATTTTCCATCTATTTATTTACCTAATCAAATATTTTCATTTTACATATGTCAGAAGTGTAAGTCGATTCACAGATTCAACACGATTCGAAAATAGATATTTCATTTTGAAAAATGTCCGAGTCTCCAAATAAGTTTTCGACGATGTTATTATTTTATTTAGTTACTAATACCATCTGCCCAATCGTCTTTATACCGCTACATAGCGAGATCATCTAGTGCTTTTCTCTTAATGTTGAGAATTGCTGTACTTACCGACTCTTTTGCTCTGATCCTACCAGCTTTAGCTGTCTTCGAAGCTTTTCGCTCTCATTCTGAGGTATTGTTCCGTAGCTGACGGCTGTTTTGCTCACTTAGACACATGAGTATATGTGGTCATAGCACCTGCCATTGCCCTGGCAGCTTACTAGGTGATCAGAAGGAAATGAAGTAACGATGTAAAATAGAGACAATATTTTTTTTTTACATATATTTTTATTGTGCCTTTTATCGTGGTTCACAGGTTATAATAAGAAAGAAAAAAAAAAGACTAGAGAAAGTACTTGGTATCATATCAGTCTATTAGTATTACATCTTCTGATGTTCACCTGAGTCAATATTCTATGATAATGGTAAGAAATGGAGTAGTAGTACAGACTGTATTTTACAAAATATCTGAATCGAGAGAGAAAAGTGAGAATGTAACATCATTTAATGAAAGAAAAAAATAATAATAATAATAACAATAATAATAAGATGACAGAGTGTACTTGCTGATAAACAACTTATAAGAGAGAGGATAGAAAATGAGAGAGAAGGAAAAAAAAATGGTATACAATGGAAGAATAATAGACTGGTCAATAATAATACATTGGATTCTCGATAAAGTATTTGTATATGAATAGGTAAATTTCTTTATTTGCTTTTGTATAATATTCATATTGCTTGACATGGACATTTTCGAACTCTAACCAATCTATCATAGTACGTTTAACTTGTAGACGTAATCGATTAAAAAAAAAACTATTTTTTCTTATACCTAGTATTTTAAACCAGTTTTTATCGGGGTTAGTTATATTTAAATATGCATTCCAATTCATTTGGAATGCTAAAGCTTCATCAGCAGTAAGTAGATGAAGTAACAGTCGGCACCAATATTTATATATATAATCATATAACGGTTTTTCTCTTGTAAGAACAAGTGTTGTTATATCATCCCAACCCTGTAGGTCATAAACGATTCTTAAGCCGGTGTAATAAACGTGAGCTACCTTCTCTTTTTGTCTTTCCGTAAAGAAAAACCAGGTACTAAATAACCATATAAAATGCGGAAGGGCATATGCTAAATATATTCTTCTACGAGTTTTTACATCATTTTTCTTTAATGGTCTTACAGATTATTTTCATAGCATTATGTATTTTACTTATTGATGTGATTCTTTCGTTTATATATTTCTCCCATCCCAATTTTACTGTTATATGTACCCCTAAGTATTTAAACTTTTTTACATATTCAATTAGTTGATTTTTATAAAAGATTTTTGGGTATAAGGGAGAAACTACATTGTGTACGAGCATCGCTTTCGTTTTCGATATATTTACCGGAAGAATTAATTAAATCACCAGAAAATTTCCCAAGCTGTTTCTTACTATTTCTGCTCTATCTTCAAGTTCATTTATGTTCTTCGAAAATTTATTTTCGAGAGATCCATTTAAAACGAGGGCCAGGTCATCGGCGAAGAGGTGAATTAAACAGCTGTTAAAATACGAAGGGAGAAAATGTATATGAATACGAAACAGTGTTGCTGCAATTACAGAACCTTGTGGCGCTCCTCTTTTCATTTGTACTACTCGGGATTTTTCTTCACCATAATGTACACTAAATGTTCTATTTTTTAACCAGTTGAATATCCACTTAAGTAATGGCGCAGGCATATTCAACTCATATAAATTCCTGATAAGTGCCGGGATCCACATTCGGTCGAATGCGGAGAGAAAGTCGAATATCGGATAATAGACTAAAGTCAAACGCTGATAAGTAGTTAGAACAACAAGAGAGTGCATATTCCACATTGAAGTTTTTCTTTTTTTTTTCTTCTAGAGGGGTAAATACTTGTGCTAGAGGAGACAATCTGTAGGGAGTTATTGTTAGGATTATTGATTAGAAGGTGGTTGAGGAGCTTTGTTGTTGATGAATCCATTATAGGGTTGTTGGTTTGTCGGATTAAAATCATTAATGAGTTTTAATTTGATATCTTCGTTTTGTAAAAATTTATTTGTCCATACCGGAAGATCATTTGCTAGTTTAGCACATAGTGCAGATAATGAAGGACAAAGTAATGTTTTGTCGTTTAATGTATTTTGTTTAACTAAGACCGGAATCACTTCTATCATAACTTGGCATACTGGGAAAATGAATTGACTAACGAAATCAAGTTGAAATACAGAATCGATTTGTTGTAATTGTATATCGCGATTGTGATTCATGATTACTTGCTGAATACGTGTCAGTTGATCAGCATAGTCATTGTTTAAATCCAATAGACGATTCAAATTTACCTCCAATTTATTCATCTTATGATAAAGTTCATCAATTCGTTTATTTGAGCTATTTGATAGATTATTGATTTTATGATGATTGTAATTTTGATTTTGATTCATATTTAATAATGGATAATCTTGTTCATTATAATAAAATTTTGTTTGATTATTTTGATAATGATTTGTTGTACTTGATGAAGCTAAAAGAGATTTTGTAAGGACGGCCCTGTATGTTTTAACATCAGGACAACGTACATCATTGGAATCATGTGGACCTTTACATCTAATACAACATTGTTTTTTATCACAATTTTCTTTATGTTTACTAATATCATTACTACTAAGAGCACATGTTCTACAATAATCTACCGTACTTTTACAAGTACTTCTGAAATGACCAATTTGGTAGCATTTGCTACATATTAGTACTTTGGCTGGTGCCAAATACTCCATCACCCCAAATCGTAAATTATTAATAGAAATAAATTTCTTACCAAGTAATTCTTCAATGACTTTAACATTGTTAATATCAATTCGAACTAATGTGGTGGGTTGTTGATTCTTATTACTAATTCGATAAGCACTCATTACATCTGGATAAATATTTTTAATATCTGTACATAGTATATCAATTTTAATATCAGTTGGAACATTCTTGAGAACGAGTGAAAACTGAGGTGGTAAATGATTAGGTAAAATTTTTTCATAATTCAGTGTTTCAATGGACGCTGGCCATTTTACTACATCGTACAGCATTGAGAAAGATTCACGATCATTCACAAATAATAATAAATCACGTTTTTGTTTTAAACGATGACCAGCGAAATTTAAATGAAAATCATAGTTGCAATAATAATGAGATGATAAATATTTTATTATGGAGCTTTCATTAATCTCGCGTTTGAACTTGATGATGAATGGAGGGAAGGCGTACCGTGTTTCGGCAAAACGCCGCGCCTGTTGTGATATTTCAGTTGTATTGTACCCTGAGTCAGGTGCAATACCACCACGTACTTTTATTTGTGAATGAACAGCAGCAGCATTTGTAGGATGAACATTGGAAAATATGCTGTTGGTATTTGTTGAAGAAGTAGATCCACTTGTGGGTGTTGTTGGTGATGATGAGCAAGACGAAGATGTTTGATTTTGTGCAAGATCAATCTTTTTTTTTTCTTTTTTTGTTTAACTAATGTATAATCATTGTCATTTTCACTTTCTATAGGTGTAACGTTTTGATTATTTGGACATTGTTGATAATTCAATTGGTGACGAGTCATGGTCATTGTTGTAGGGTGAAGTTCATTAGATGTCACTATGTTCGGATTGTAATGAGGAATATTCAACGGCATTGGTTGATGGTGACAATTAGGGGTATAGTATGGATAGTTGAACATTGGAAATTGTGTGGTGGTGTTGTTACAATTCGATGAACAGGCTTGATTTGTAGTAATACCATTAGTAAAAGGTGCAGAAGTATGATGTAATAATATCTGTGAATGGTTATTATGAGAATCCGAATACGATATTGAAGAGTTGGATGAGCATTGATCTTGAACAATTCTATTGTTGATAAGGTGTTGTTGAGGTGCCGAATGATCGGCAGATTGGGGACAACTAACATTGGGCATGCTGCCTAGCATGCCGGCAGAGCCGTGAAAGATTTTGAAAAAGGTGGTGGTGTATGAAGTTCAGATCATTGCAATTTAACTATACGACTTTAGAAACACTTATTCTAATATATTTTCGAGAGAAAAGCGTGAGAGTCAATCTTAATAACAAGTTGTGCTATAGAACAGTCTAACGTGCACTTTTTCAAGGTGATAATAGTTTTCGAAAAACCGCGAGAGACCCACTGACAAGCAATGCATCAGTTATTTGTTGTTTCTAAAATGTGTCGAAAAACAATTGCCAAACAATACTAAAGGATCTGAATGGTCTGAAGTTCGCCATAAAGATCAAAATTCTGGTAGAAATCAAAAGGAACACTCCATATTGTTTTTGACAAGAAAAATCTAATAGCTTTTTTTAGCCAAAACTCCTACTTTTACTACGTTGTTGATGAACTTGGTCTTTACGAGTAAAAAATGACTAAGCTGCCCTTTCAGATAAGAAAAAGTTTCAGATTAAACTTGATTAGTAGCGAAGTGAAACGCATTTGATAAGTGATAATGATTTTTGGAACACCCTGTACTAGTTGATCATTTTTAATCATACCAACATCCCTCATATAAGAAAACATCAGATTAAGTAGAATAGAACAATATCTACCCTTATTTCATTTAAAAAAATAGTTGAAAAGCTTTCTAGCAGTGACTAGTGTTTTTCAGCTCGGCTTATTTTATTTACTTTAAATTAAGTTCAAGATCTTTATGAACATGCTGATTATCCACTGGGAAAGTTGGCATTGAAGTGAAATTTTTCATTATGGTCCAAATTTCGAAATGAAAAATCCTAGAAATGGGTTTAAATTAAAAGGAACATCATAAAACTAGAATTTTGCCGCTTTGTCATACCACCACTTATCATTGTCTAGGAAAAATTTTTGAGCCTTCCCTAAATCTAAATCCTTCCGCCGCCCATGGTTCATACTCACGTCAGACATCATTATTAACTTAAATTCTAAAAAATGCCACTAGATTCCAGAAATTATTTTAAAAACATCGATTTTGTGAGAGGGTCTTATAATATGTCTCTTGCTTGATTTAGCAAAGGAGGGTCTTCTAATGTGTCGGAGGGTTTACATTATTGATGTTTTCAAGATTAAATTTTATTTAAAGAATGTCATATTTGAAGAAAATCTTTTCTTCATTCGAAGACCTTTCCTTATATAATTGATCTTGAATTGAAAGAGTTATGAGAGTTTGTTAGAAAAACAAGATAACATTTTCTGATGTGTCAATAAAAGATAATATGATGCGAAGATATGGGAATTTTTCTCACAGGAATTTCTATTAACATAACGAACGATAAACGATTTCATCTAAGAATCTATTAAAGATTCGAAAATCTTTATATAATTTCGAGATATGGATCTCTATAACATAAGTCAAATAAATTTCTAACAACTCACTGTTTTATCGAAGATTACGGCATAAAGTATCCAGGTCGAATGCATATAGGACCGGTTACATAATTCCGAGGATTTTTTCCTCAACAAACGACACATAGAATCTTCAAATAATTTCAAGATCTTCTTGTTTTAATTGTCGTTGAGAATTTCTGTTAATACTACATATAAAAGGGTAGAATAAGTAGGAAACGATCGTGCCTCAAAAATTCTAGGTACTAATACCAAAAAGGTTCGAAAAGAGTTGAACAAAATTGAAAAGGTTCATTAAGATGAATAGTTATCTTTTCAAAACAAACTTCATTCATATTTTGATCAGATGGATGTTTTATTTTAAGGCAGTATGACACTTTCAAAAATATCCTATTCACATTGTCAACATTTATTATGAAAAAAAAGAAAACATTGCATACGCATGTATTGTTTAACTTTGTCTAGGTATTTTTTAATTCATCTTATAGAATAATATATTTTCCTCTTCTATTAAGGCTAATACATCAACGATAGAAAATGATGAATTTTATCGTAATAATAATTACCTTATATTTGTGAGAGTTAAATAAATATGTATGTTCCATCGTCTAATGTGACTTGTTAATCGATAATTAGTAGACGATTAATCGATATTAGTTGACTAATTGATTGATTTAATCAAAGAGACATTATTGACGGGATTATATAATAGATAATCTCCATTAGAGATATTTATGGTAGTTTTTTCGATAGATAGATTATGAAAGAGAAGAAATTGAATATATGAAATGATCTTCTTTTTTTTTTGTGATAATATTTAAAAGAGAATTTGTCGAAGTTTTAATTATATGTTTAAACCAAGGGGGTAAGTGCTGGCACCCAGCACCGTAAAACACCGAAAAGTGCTGGACAGGTGCTGAGGTGCTGAGCAAGTGCTGAGGTACTGAGTAGGTGCTCAGGTGCTGAGTAGGTGCTGGGCGGGTGCTGAAGTGCTGAGATGCTAATTGATTTTTTTAGGATACTACATAAACTAAACCACTACATTATAATTGATTAAGAGCGTTCTATATCAGATTCATTATTGTACTTCAATACCAGCGAACTCTTTAAGTATTCAATCAGAAATGTACCCATTTTACAAAACTGTCTAATTCTAATTCAATTTTCTTACTCAGAAGAAACTCATTTTTGTGCTGTTTTTCTGATATAAAAAAGAGAGGAAGTTCCGCTAAATATCTTTCAGTTACTTTAAGAATTCTTATTTGTTTCATTGGATGAAATGCTTTTTTT